TTTCCACGTATTACACTGCCGGTTGACCTGGTGTGGGAATATTCCGTTTTCTCCTTCAGCTCGTGTTCAGTTATCTGCCTGGCCGTCCTGATGCCGTTCTGTTCTCTCCGCCAGTTCGTGTTCAGATACCTGCCTGGCGGTTCTGATGCCGTTCCAAGTCGTCATCTTCACCATGAACATGGCGGCGGGCGCCGTGGAGCACGGCACCCACTACGCCCTGCACGCCGCCTACTCGCACCGGCTCAAGCGCTCCGCCTTCAATATGTTCTCCGGCAACTTTGGTGGCTCCAAAAACAAGGTTGGCTGAGTAGTGTGCATGTAGAGTGATGTATGTGTGCTCAGTTAAAGACGGAATCCTTGGTGAAAACTGATGCACTTGACATTTGAGAAAGTTTTTTGGGCTACAATAATTTTAACGTGCGTCCACCCTGACACGGGGGCCGGTGCCGACCCTCGTAGGTGGCTGTCCAGTCCACGCCATGTGTGATCACTGTGTGTGCATTTTTAAGTGATCAGTGGTGTGCTGTTAAATATATGTTTAAAGAGATAATAATGCAAAAAATGATGTTTGTGGCCCCCAAAATCTGTGGCCCCCAAAGTTCGGGAAAATGTTGTATTTGATGCGGGTTTTTTCATTTTCAGATCTCCACTTTTGCTCCACAGTCCTGAACTTTTTTACGTGATCCCACAAGACCTGGTTTTTTGTTCGACTTGACACGCCCCAAAACCACGCTAGGGTGCGCACCGCCTACTTGACGTGCGCCCTCTGCCGTCCACAGGAGCTGTTCTGTGTGCAGGCGCTGGACGGTACGCTCTCGTTCTTCGAGCAGGAGAATTTCGCCTTCAGCCGCTTTCTGCCCGGCTACCTGATCCCGGGGCCCGTGCTGTACGTGAAGAAGACGGATGCGGTGGTGACCGGCACCTCCAGCTGGACCGTGGAGGCCTACAAGTGAGAGCCTGTCGGCAGCGCACTCGGCCTTGGAGGCGCGGCCACGGGGTAGCGGTCGTGTACGGGTGGTCAGCTCCCCGACCCCGCGACGTATTTTATCGGTGTTTCTGGTCAACGTTGTGGTCACATAGGGCCTAAAAGAAGAGGTGGTGCATTGGTTGTGCGAGTATTTTCCAAATTTGCTGGCTACCACCAAAGAAGGTGAAAGAAGTTTTGAAAGTGTTGTATGCGTTCCTGTGCTCTATGCGTTGGCCTTGGTGGAGGCGATTGAATACAACATCAGCATTTGGTCGCTCCCTAATTTTTCTCCTTGATAACGTGTTGTGAATGAAATTTAGGCATTCAGGGAATTTAAACGCACATGCAGCTCTTGCAAATGTGTCTGTTTCACTCCTCGAGTAAAGGTCAGTATTTTTAAGAATGATACACATGTTTGGGGTCGTCCGAAGCGCAGAAGGCACTGGTCTGGTATCGCTGGACACCTCGCTCCTGATCTATCTGCCCACCTCTACTGATCTGTGTCGCCAGATACTCGTCACTGGCTCAAGGATCCGACGCCACAATGAGAAGGCCTAATGGCGACAGCCGGGTCTGGCCAAGCGGTGTACCCCGAATGGACGTAACACAACCTGGGCGAGCTGTGCAGGACATGCAGCAGGTAGTTGACAACGCACATTACAAGTGCTTACCCCGGGTCGGCTGTGTCATGTATGCATTCTTTCGTAACTTGTCCTAAATTGCTCCAATCACTGGTCATAGCATTGAGAATATATGATGTTAGAGTGGGTTTGGACGCCACTGAGCATATCCGACCCGACGCCGCCTCTAAACGTCAAATCAATGGGTGCAATGGGTGCATCTGAAAACAACACGGCCTTTGTCGCCGACGTTGGCCTTACGCACGAGCGGCCATTTCCGCAGGACACGCCACCGGCCAGCTGGCAGGCGTGGCGTGAGGTGCTGGTGCTGCTGGTGACCTTGCCTGGAGGTCACCCCACTGGACAGCTGACAGGGGTGGTGTGAGATGCTGGTGCTACTGGTGACTTTGCCTGCAGGATACGCCACTGGACAGCTGACAGGGGTGGTGTGAGGTGCTGGCGTTGCTGGTGACCTTGCCTGGAGGTCGCGCCGGCAGTGGAAGACGTCAGGGCTTAGCTTGGTGGAAGACTTGGTGACCTGACCTGACCCGTGACCTCGTGTCCAGGTCACCATGTCGTCGGGGGACGTGCAGGTGGCGGTGCTGGCCGAGCACAGCCTGATGGTGCTCAAGGAGACGGGCCAGCTGGTGATGTTCAAGCGGCTCGACTACCACCCTGCCTGCCTCACCACCTTCGTCAGCGGTATGTACCGGCCGCCTCGGGTGACAGCGGGCGCGCTGACGCCTCTCCCAGCTGACGCGCCGCGGCTGGTTGTCATGTGGGCGGAATAGGCCCGATTTCAATGATTACCACGTGGTTTACGTCTTTTGAAGCGGACTTGTACCCGTCCACGCCTTTGTGACTACAGTACTCCTGTCTCATCTTTAAAAAAGAAGGACAGGTGCGGGGCTGCACGTGCCTTAACCACTATGAAGGGGTAAGAAATAGTGCTTGCCGAAATTCCCATGTGTCGGTTTTGGTACCTTTTTACTGGCATTCACAGGCTACAGGTATGCCACGTTGCCATTAACAAGGTCCTCTGAGCGGATTAACGCATACTGCGGCCAGAATATCCCCACAATTATGCTTCCCACGCGATCATGGTGACGGCCTCCCCTTTTTCTCTCCCTTTCTCAGCAGCTTAACTATTGCCTGGTCTTTCCGCGTCCGCTTGTGCACCGTTCACCACCAGTCGCTGTCTCGGCCACCACCAGTCGCTGTGTGCTAGCGGCGTTGCTCGGTGACCTGCCGGCCGATCGTCTGGCCCGTGGCTCGTGTCTTCATGTGGCGCGCTATTGACGGTCGTCGCCTGGCTGTCCGCGTTGGTCCGGGTCGTGGTGCACGGCTGGCACGCCCAGACTGCGGCCCCCTGCCACGCCCAGGGAGGCCGCTCGCGCGTGTCCCGACTCCGGCGCGGGCCACGTGCCGGCAGACGCCGGCGGTTTGATCACACCTGTGGTCACTCCCGACCTGGCCGGCTCCGGCACGTGTCCCGCGGCATACGCTGATAGTCCTAACACCCTCGCTCCGCCACGCACACGGATATCACGTGCCACGTGTCGGCAGGCTGCCGGCCACTTGATCGGCTCGTTTCTAGCCGCACGTCGTTGCTGCGGCACGCGTCTCGCCGGGGACTCAAGACAGTCCCTGTCTTCCTTACACACCGGTAACACGCGCCACGTGTCCGCAGACGCCGGCCGGCTGACCACGCTCGTGTCCAGCCACACGTGCGTGCTGCACGTGTACGAAGGCGGCACACTGCGCTGGCGGCGCGGCTGCCGTTCGCGCCGTGCGCGGCGGCGCGAGTCCAGCTGCGTCAGCTGGCCGGCCTGCTGGCGCTCCTGTCGCCGGCCGGCCAGCTGGTGGCCGCCTACCTCGGCACCACGCCCTCGCTGTTCGTGGCGCCGCCGGTGCAGACGGCCGGCGCGCTCGACTACGAGGCGCTCGACGAGGAGCTGGCCACCCTCAACACGACCATCCAGAAGTCGCAGGCGCAGGGCGGTGAGCCGTGGGAGCTGGAGGTTGGGGTTTCGGTCGGAGCGGCGCGTGGCTGCGCGCCACGCACGTCAGCCAAGTCTGGAGGTTGAGTGGCCTGTTGAGATATGGGCTTGATACGTGTGAGGACGGTAGATGGAGTGCTGGTGTTCGGGACGGCGGGGTGACTCCATTCCCATAGCTAACGTGGCGATGCAGTTGCGAAATGAAGGAGCACATGGATATGTGGAGTTAGCCGGCGGCGTGAACTTCTGGTGGGGTTGGGAGGGAGGGGTGGGGGGGGGGACAGTAGTTGATTTTAGTACTGGGGTACATAATTATTCGGTCACATCACGGGCAGAGGTGAATTTTCAATTCACCTCTGGCCGTGATGTGGCCGCCCTCCATCCTGGCTACGTCAGGTTGATGGTCATTTTCCCGTTGTCAACACCAGCCGCCTGGTCCGCCTTCGTTGGCAGACTCGAGCCTGGCGCTCACCTCGAAGGCGGCCGCCGACCGAGAGGTGCAGCTGGTGGTGCAGATCCACCCGGTGCTCGACCCGTGCACGCTGCCCACCGAGCTGGACGAGCAGGTGGGTGCGGCTGGCGGCTCATGTGATGGGTACGGCTGGCGGCTCCGGTGATGGGGGGCGCGGGGCGGCGGCCCAGGCAGTGGGTACGGCCCTCCCGCCCGCAGCTCAGATGGCCTGCCACCGGTTGGCATGCTGGGGTGCAGTCACAGTGTCGTTGGGGCTTTACTACCCGCTCAGCTGGAAGCTACATGGCATCGCCTGCCTCGTACCCTAGCAGGAAGGGCAGGCCCCGCGGGAAATCGAACCCCGTGCCTCTGGTTTCCCAGGCGCGCAGCTTAACCACCACTTAACCGGTGCCCTTGAGGTACGGTTACTGCGTCGAACGCGGTGGGTGGCCGCTGCATCCGCGAGGGCCGACCCTACGGCGCGGTGGCAGCACCGGCGGAGAGCATGGTTGGTCGCTCCCGGACGTCAGCTTGAGCTGCTAACTGACGTTATCAACGGGTTGGCGCTGGCGTCTTTGGTGCTGATTAGCCGGCTGTTCACTTTGTCCGTCGGGCGATATTGGCGTGATGTCCCTGGGTCCGTACGCTAGGTGTCAGCTGTGACCTGTGTTGACGCCGCGTGCCGCCAGGTGCCGTGTGCCAGTATCCGAGCGCTGGTCTCTCCCATGGCTCCGGTGCAGCCCCTGGTGCTCAGCTTCCACGTGACCTGTGTTGACACCGTGCCGCCAGGTGCCGTGTGCCAGTATCCGAGCGCTGGTCTCTCCCATGGCTCCGGTGCAGTCCCTGGTGCTCTGGATCTGTACGCTGGGTGTCAGATGTGACCTATGTTGACGCCGCGTGCCGCCAGGTGCCGTGTGCCAGCATCCGAGCGCTGGTCTCTCCCATGGCTCCGGTGCAGTCCCTGGTGCTCAGCTTCCACGTGACCAGCCCGCTGACCGTGGTCAAGCCGTCCGCCGCCATCGAGTACCTCAGTGAGTGTGACGCTGCCTCCGGCCGGCGGTGCGGCTGATGGCGCTCAGCCTGTCTGCTCGCCACTGAAACCCCCCTCCCCTCCCACCATAACCACTCCCGTAGCTGGGGTGGTGCCACTGAACATACGCCCCCGGTCGTAAGCCGAGGTCTTGGGAGCAGATTGCTGGCGTGATGGTCACGAAAGTCAGGTGGAAGACTCGCTGGATTTGCTGACTTCGTGTATTAAGTCCGCCAAACCGCTATTTCGCGGCGAAATGTGCTCATCTGAACAGCGTCCCTAAACGAATGATGATGAAATGATGATTGACATGGCTACCCATTGACAGAATGGCCCTTGATTTACTGACTCCATGTATTGGATCTGTATTCATGTTACTTGTAAGCTAGATGCCGGAAAGCCGAGGTAGCTCTCGCTTTCTACAATATGTTTTTATCAAGCGATTGGTCCTGTTCTGTGCAATGTTCTTACCGAGTGTTGGCTCTGACACGGCCACAGGGAAAGGCCAGTTTTACATAGGGGTGCTCGCAATTATGGCAGGAAAGCAAATCATGGCATGTTGATTGCCGAACGAAGGGCACAGAAGACTTAGCGTTGTTTTCGCTGAGGTTGAAAGACTGACCATGAAGTTTGTTTTCTGCTTGCTTTGGTAAACATTTCTTGGAAGGCCTTTTGTTAGGCTCAACCGCTGTAATGCCATCAAATCTTCGCAATGACCCTCACATCAGACCATTTATCGGGGTATGTGTCCAAAAAAGGGTCGGGTAACACAGGCAGTGCCTGTTCTGAGTGGACAGAACACACAAGGTCTCTCGGGTACAGCTGGCTGAGCGTCGCGCTCAACCACTCCCATAGCTGAGATGGTGCCACTGAAGCCCTCTCTCCTCCTCCACAACCACCCCCATAGGTGACGTGGTGTCACTGAAGCCCCCCCCCCCTTTCCACCATAACCACTCCCATAGCTGAGGTGG